ACGACTGTGCTCCCGTCTTTGATAGTCCCATCTACGACCTGAATGTCAGCGAGGGAGCCACTCCGCCGCTGCTGATTGGTCGAGTGCATGTGAGTGACTGCGACAGTGATGAGAACAATCGTCTGCTGCACTACTGGCTGCAGCAACCCAGAAGCATTCCCCCAGAGTTTAGCAGGTCAGAGGAAACTGGCAACGATGCCGGCAAGAGGCAAATGCCTACGGTTCCCCTGCTAGTCCCAACCATGACGCCCTCTTCCTCATCGGCCCGATGGTTCACAATTTCCCGCTCTGGTGAACTCTATCTGGGCGCTGCCAGTCAGCGGCGCCTGAGTAATAATCAGGCCTCTCAGGCTAATAACAATCCCCACCTCCAGGATTGGCGCCCGCTGGACAGAGAACGTGAGGAGATAATTGTACTGGATGTCTGTGCACGAGATCATGGTCAACCCTCGTTGACGGGTTCCGCTCAGATTATCATACGTCTACTTGACATCAACGACAACTCCCCGATGTGGCAGTTTCCTCGATCCAATGAGCGTATCCTCAACGTCTCCCTGGAGGCCTCAGTAGGGCAGAAAGTAGCTCGGGTAAGCGCATTTGGCTTTTTCTGATTTTTATGCTATCTAAATGTGTTACTTATGATGCTGCATAGGAAGGGCTAAAGTTAATTGCTTTTCTCTCACAGTAGTTCCGTGCGGTTTAATTGAATTCCAAAGAGGACATGTTTCGTTCAGAAGGGCTAGATTGCTCGGAAACGTAGAAAGCATAATTAATGAGCATCCAATAAACTTTCAAAGGAAATATGCCACTTAAAAGCGGTTTAGTGGTTGGTGTGTCGGAGGCAAGTAAAGTTACCTAATTTACACCGGCATAGTATGCCGTTGGCGGATGGGCGTCCACCGATTGTTTATGGCACTCCAGCGTTTCGTTCTGTCTTGGGGCTCGCTCTCGCGCGTCCCACCAACAGACTGTCTCCCCTGTTTTTTTTCTCCGGTAATGCTCATACTATGCCGTGCATTTTCTTTGATAGTTTAGTGTTTTAAGAAAATATTTATGCCGTTTCGAAAGAATTTACCGGAAGTTGAGATGTCATATGTATTCTGCAGTCAAAGTTGTAAAGTAGTTTTCTTGAAAAAGTACATTAAGTTGATGTTGTGAACGTTGGTAGAAGTTTGCGCATCTGTGACGCGATTGTGTACTCCAAACGGAGTCCCTTGTAGACGCACTGGACCAACAGGTGGACTAGACTAGGCGTTATTGGGAATATGCATTTATAAATTGTGCCCAACGTGGCGGAG